AGGGGACGTCCCTGGGGCCCTGCCCTACCTACCCCTTGGCGCCCCTCGTTTCCTGCAGAATGTGAACGAGCTGAATCAATGGCTCTCCGCCCTGCGCAAGGCCAGCGCCCCCAACCCGGACAAGCTGGCCGCCTGCCACCCTGGTGCCTTCCGCGGCGCTCGCTGGACCTGCTGCCTCCAGGCCAAGCGCTCAGGTGAGGGGGCGGGGCGGGATGCAGGCCCCGCCTCCCCGCCTACCAATCAGCAGGGGGCAGGGCCCACCTCCTGGCTGGGCACCTGGGGCCACGTAATCATGGCCTGTGTGTTTGGGTCTCCACAAGTGTGAACAGGTTTGCTCTAGGGTCCTGTTGATGCAGCGGTTAAGCATTGGCTGCTAATCGAAAGGTGGGTGGTTTGAACCCACCAGCTGCTGCGAGGTGTGGCATCCTGTTCTCTTAAGGCTTCCCGCGGTGGAACCTCCTGGGGGCAGGTCTCCGTCCCAGAAGAAGGTCACTGTGAGCTGGCATCCCCTGACAGCAATAGAGGACAGTCTTGACCGCCAAGGGTGCTTTGAAGGCCTATACCACAAAGCAGAAAAAACTGAAAAACAAAACAAACCCCCTCTCCCTAAAACTCACTGCTATCGAGTAGATGCCAACTCAGAGCGACCCTGCAGGATGGGGCAGAGCTGCCCCTGTGGGTTTCTGACACTGAAATGCATTATGGGAACGGAAAGGCTCCTCTTGCGCCTGATCCATACCAAGTCCTCATGAAACGTGAGTGCGGTTTTGAGTCCTTACTATGATGCAGGGGCCCCTGGTAGCACAATGGGTTAGGCGTTGATCTGCTAATCTCAAGATCAGAGTTCCAAACCACCAAGAGCTACAGCCTCAGAAACCCACAGCGGCTGCTCGGCGCCCTGCTGGAGGGTCGCTAGTGTATTGACTCGGTGGCACTGATTTGGGTTGGGTTGCGCGGATCATGTAGGGAGTCTGGTGGTGCTGCGGGTTGTGCGTTTGTCTGCTAACGGAAAGGATTAGCAGATAAAACCCACCAGTCGCTCCTCCGCAGACGGATG